AGGGAATGGCATCTGTGCAAGGGTTTCGCACGCTGAGGGGTCGATTACGCTCTGGCACAGCCTGATTTTGTAGAAATCCGTGGCCCTTGGAATTGCTTTGGGTCGTGCAACTCCAGCTTTTAAACTGTTGGGGCTTTTTTGCGACAGTTCCCAAGGATAAAGCCTACTCAGGGAACTCCACAAAAGCAAGGGGAATGTGGAAACACAGTTGCAGGACTGAAACTCAACTTCCAGACAAAAGAAACCAGTGCAGGATGGGGTGGTAGCCATTACACCTGGTCTTTTTATGTCTAGTTCAGGTCCACAGGACCGGCTTTAGATGGAGACTGAAGTGCATGAACAAAGTGGCAACCTCTGCACCTCATGGCAAGGCATATGTTGCGAAAGGGCAGAGGTTGTAGTTCTTTTTCCAGATGTATCCTGATACTCCAGCTGATTTTTGCCTTCATAAGCAGCATAACCAACGTGCAAATTGCAGATAGGCATTTACTTTCTTCATGTATTCTCATCTACTCTTAAATTCATGAAGTCTTGACCTCCCTAGCTAGAGATGGGATTTGCAAGTTCATCTTTTGCAGCCCCATCATCGTGTTACTCTTCTTTACCACAGCCCCAGCCACTTAAAACGTTTATCTGCATGCCTGAGCTGTGAACAGCTTGCAAACTGGTTCAGGCTGAAAGTAATCCAGTTGGTTCAAACCTGCCCTCTTTATTAGCCACGGGATGGCATTTGCCTGGGCTTATTTCTGGCATGTGAATCACCTGTGTGACACAAGGACCATCTCTTCTCTTTTCTGGAGTTGATTGCTCCTTTCTAGTGGCGCACAGGTGGTTTATATTTAGTTATTTAGGTATGGTGATAGATAGAAATGTGCTCCAAGTGGCTTTGACCCTCAGTTCCTTGTCTGGAGTCAAACTGAGGGAAAAATGCCCATAACCCTGTGCCACCCACGACAAAGGAGCATTACCAGCTCACTTCCAAGCCAAGCCAGCCAGGTTTCATGTTTAACGTGAGCACCTATTTTGGTGCTTCCACCGGTGATGCCAGGAATCCCTGCTGGGTTTTGAAACCTCCAGTAAAGGTCAGGACAGCACCTCGAGGAAGCAGGAGCATCATCTGTCCTTGCTCACATTGCGGCCTAAAGTGCAAACTCCACGGGGTGGTGTGTCAAAATGGAGCAAGTCTGTTGTGTCCTCCTGGGCTGGTGAGGTTAGACTGAAGATACACAAGATTTAAAAGAAGATATTGGAGGCCAGGGATTTGGTTTTGGTGTTGCTTTTGTTGGTTTATTTTTTTTTAACGTTTGCACACAGAGTAATGTGTGACTGGGTGGTTGATTGGTGAATTTGATATGTGAAAATGGTTTAAGGTCTGATCTCTGGCAACACAGATTATCATGATACAGTTGTTTCATTTTATTGTCGAATGAAATCAGGCTTAATTTTACTACCTTTTTAAAGGAAAAAAAAATCTGAACAACAAATGCTTCTAGGAGTCAAAAAATCTCCATTTATATTTTGTAAGAAAACTCCACTCATATATGCTGCTTATTACTGTTAGTGTTCACCCTGACCCTGTAGTTGTTCTTATGTTTTTACAAGTAAACATTGCTCTCAGAAATTTATAATCTCAGATTATATATTGGTGTTCTTGTAATGCTTTAGAAAAGCAGAGGACAAATCAACCTCTCTAGTAATTTCATTTTTTCTGAAGGTTTAGTCTAAGGTGAAATTTAGTCCTAGAACTTCAATAAATCATGACAGCAATATTAGTTAGGATATTCAGGGTGTGAGGTTTTGGTGGTGTTGTTTCATTTTTTTTGTTTGTTTGGGGTTTTGTGGTTTTGGTTTTTTTTGTTATATGCAACTGTTTGATGTATTCTTGCATGCCAGCTATAGCTGTAATTCTGGAAATAACAAACTATGTAATTTTTAGTAGAAGAAGGTGACTTGGTAAGTTGCATGTGCTTTTAGTGCAGTTTTAAGGCCAAAGTGAACAGCCCCTCTCCTTGATGTTTAAAAACTTACTTGCTCTCAGAACATGAAGATAACATTAATTCTCATTTACGAGAAACCTTTGAAGTTATATTTGTTACCAGTACAAACAAGAAATGAGAACATTCACCTCGCAACGTTTAAGTTTGTGGTATTCTTTTCATAGCACTATTACAGCACTTGTTGTTTAAGAGGACATTTCTAAATCAACTGCTATTTTTGCATTCAATTTAGTAAACAATTTAGCTCATCGTGGCCCAAAAAGGTTCTGTTCCCTCACTCCAAGACCACCTCGAGGAGGGCACATCCAGCTCTGAAAAGCTGTGATCCAGTGACCGTGACTCTCACGATTTGGGGGTTTGTGTAAAGAGGGTTGTGCTGCTGGCAGACACGTCGGCACAGCAAACACTGGGCACAGTGAGCAAATAGTCACTCCTCAAACCACACACATACGCCTCTGCCAGTAAGTGCCTTTTCAGTACAAAAATACTGTTCAAAGGGATGGCCTGGAACACCAGCAGGTCCATGTTGTGTTATTCAAGTTCCTAATAGCAGGTGTGTAGCGGTATCACCTTCACGTCAACTCCGGGAACAGCTGCTCATCAACCACATGAGTTGGAGGAGGGAATATGAAGGAAAAAAGATTAGGTGTCCAGTTTTGAAGAGAAAGCCTCGTTGGTATCATTCTCAGAAGAAACTTGAGCCACAATTTTTGTTGTTCGTCAGCCTAACTGTAATGATTGCAAGCATGAGAAAAATCTCACATCTCACAAGCAGCATCCTCACTAATGTAGGTTGAGCTCTGCTGCCAAAATGGTTTTCTATATTCGTGTACATTTGCCATTATATATTGCTCTGTATGTGAGTCCAGATTTGGAGCATTTTTTTTCAGATAAAACTCCCCAGGCAAAATCTTTGCAGTGAACACAAGACCTCCGCTTGCCAGACGAGGGGTCTCATGATCCCCATCTTGGGGCACATGCTTTTTCGACACAAAGCCCCAGAGCCACTGCGGTGTGACGTACACGTGCTGCTCCTGGTAAATCCCCAGCAAGACGCAACCACCCAACTCTCTCGGTGAGGCCAATGAGAAGTACTGGAGCTGAGAGGGTCAAAGGCTGAGTTTCGAAGGGGAAATCCCATCTGAAGCCTGGGGGTTCTCCTGTGCTGGGGCTCTGCAGCAGGCTCCATCATCCAGTCCCCAATGTACCCTGTGCAGACACAGCCACGCTGCTTCATAGTGGGGTGACAAGAACTTGATGAGTAAAGAAGGGGACTGTAAGTTACTGCAGAACACAGTGATGGTTTCAAAATGGATTTAGGATGAATATCATAGATTTTATCACCATTTGTTTGGCCTGAGCCAGGATAATTTAAGAGTAAGTTTCTAGCTCAGAACTAGTGAGACCTTGGTTTAGTTCTGCTGTAGCACAAGCCACCCGTAAGTCCTGGGCAAGGGTTCAGCATCGCTTTGTCCCTTCCTTGGACATACAATGAGGGTGACTGAACCTTCCTCTGAGGTACATGGAAGGAAAACCGCGTTTAAGTTTGGGAGATGTCCAGAATCAGTGATAACACCTTGGCTAGCATCTTTAAGTGGAAATAGCATGTTAATGATGTCAGTTTTGGCCTTAGTCAGATTTCTGTAATGCCTGTAAGGAGAAGTTTGTGTTCTTCCAAACCTAATACTTTTGGTGATGCCCTCATGGAAGTGATCAAATTCAATGGAGTGAAAGCTCCTGGAGCCACAGCTGATTTTGGTCCGAGCTGTCTAATAATTAAACCAGCCAGGTTAAACAGTTTTCATATTTTGGGAATCTCCATAGTTTACAAGAATTCTGACAACAGCACCAATTCAGGAAAAAGGCCTAAACCAAGCAATTTTAGCCATTCTCATGTTTGCTTACCATAAAATTTCTCATCAAGTTGATCATTGAAGTGGAACCTCAACCCACGGTCTGCATCTCTTCGTGTCTTCAGACATCAGTGTGAATGACTTCAGCAAAATGTGCTGACCCTGATGTGGCACATTTTATTTGATTCTGTGTGTTACGATCATTTATAATGCACAGGAAAATCACAGGATGTAAAGACATTGAAATGATAAAACTCTGCTAATATGAGAGCAGTGATATGCCAGAAAGCATGTTCAAGTATGCCACAATGATTACAAATAACTTAATGCTGTAATCTTCTTTTGAAAGATTTTTAAAAATATTTAAATAATATTTGACAGATGAAATTTTTGGTATAAAACAGGAAACCATCAAATAAATCTATAAAAGGGGTTTGGTCCATTTACAATGTCATATTGTTAAAGTAATGTAATAGGTTTAGTTTATGCTTACAATATTCATCTGATCTTTAAACAGATCAAACTAAGATTTTAATTCAAAATTATTAAGATAATCAACATAATACATTCTTTTTTTTTTGCTCTTGTACTTAAAGAGACACAGAGACTTGCATACCTATTCAGGCACCATCAGAACTATTTAGCAGAGTGTACCGAACTGTATGATGTAAGCTTAATTCAAATTTATTATGCTATTTCAGAAACATTCATATTTTTAGCAGAGAGGGGAAAAAAAGGAGAAAACGCAATGTGACATCTGATGATGTTTCTTTTCTTTGGATATTCACCTTCTTAGCTGTTTTTTTAAAACTTGGGATTTTTGAGAAAATGGTAACCTTGTGTAATCTGATCAGGAGGTACTTTTGAGGATTTAAACATCTGTTTGATGCCAGCATCAACAGAGGTCTCTGGGACATGTAGATAAGAGTTGTCCAGAGAAGTTGCTCAACAACAAATGTATTGAGGCACACAGTGAAAAGGAAGGTTGAATATTAACAGAGACACTGTGATTGCTGAGAAGGGCTGGCCCTATCACTGTCAAGCTGGGAAATGAGGGTTGCTGCCTATATATATAGGAACAGAGAAGAGCTTTCCCTGTCAGAGCTGCTGCTGGGAGAAAGTCACTGAGCTTCTCAAGCAAGCCAGCACCATGAAACTCCTCCTGCTGTTCCTGCTCTGTGTTTCCTCCATTAAATCCCAGGGCTTCACTGATTATGATGATGAGGTTGTAACACTGATAATAATTATTAATAATAATTAATAATAGTAGTGAAATAATTAATTTAATTTAATTGCATGTGTGACTTATTCAGCTTATGCGAGTCAGCTAAGTTAGAAGCTGTGGGAAAAAATGATCCAGTGCATGTTCTTTTTCCACTTGAAATGTTCAAAGAAATAACCTTCTTATTATTTCTTTGTGTATATGTAACTGCACAGTCGTTATTTTCTGAGTTTGGACGTATTTTATTTTTCTGAGGGGAATGAAGAATGTATTATGGTAAGATTAGTTATTTAGCTGAATTTATTTAAGGACATTAAGTTAGCAATGTTGGTGTATGATGTTACAGACAATTAATATCAGGTGCAAAGGAGCAGAAATGTGTAATTAATCATGTCCTGTCTCAAAGACAGTAAGAGCTTTTCTATGAATTTGTTAGCAATTAAAAGAAAAAATTAACTGTCAGTTCATGTAGCTTTACATAAGAAAAGAAAAAATTAACTGTCAGTTCATGTAGCTTTACATAAGAAATGGAGGAGTAACAACTGTTACACAAAAAAGCAAGAAATGAGGATCAATCTAAAATAGCAATTTAACCTATATTTTGTTCTGTTGAAGTAAAATATTTTAATGGGAAATACAATTTAGAATTTCCGTACATTTTTTCATGTTTTGAAACTACCTGAAAAAATTATATAGATTAAGGTAATCACAAATTAGATTATTTTCTGTTACAATTTAAGCATTTTTTCTGTTACACAATTTAAGCATTTTTGTCTGTACATTGACTACTGATAACATTACTGTGCTAAATAATTTAAAGCAATTTCATGGTTTTTATGCTGCCTGGTTTTGTTTGTTATTTGTAGCTAAGTGTGAGTGGGATTGGAGATAGCTGAAGATTTTGATTTAGTAGTTCAAACAACTATTATTAATCTGGTTTAGTTTCAATAAATGTTTAGGGACCAGGCCTGTTTTTCTTCCTCAGCCCCTTAAACTTTTCCATTTCTGGCAGAGATAAGGTACATATACATCAGAGGGAGCTCTAAAAACCTGCCCTGAGAGATATTATTGAACACTTTTTCTAATTTCATCAGTTAACAGCTGCCATGGGGCCCAAGACCTGATGATTTTCTGAGAAAATTTTCACAATTTTGAGAAAATTTTCACAAATTTTCCTGTAGCCCAGTGAGAAACTGGGACACTGATAACACGATACTGCATATTCTTCTTAGCCCCAAGACTGTCTAATTTATTTTTTTTTTTGATCCTGCTACTTCAAGTTTCATGGTGCTTGGAGGCTCTGAACAATATAAACTTTGTTTCTTGGTTGCAATGAGCTATTGAAGTATCGTTTTGCTTTGGTTTGAAGTCTTTTTAGTTTGTCTTTATCTAAGTGGAGGGAGCATGACAAGTCTTGCAAGGGAGTGCATAGCAATGGCTTTTATATAATGTCAGTAATGTCCATTATTGCTTTTTTCATTCCATTCCTTGATTTTCCTTGCTGTTTATACTACTAAAGAGTGCTGAACAGCTGCCTCCACCCTGTGCATTTTTACAGCATTTTTACAGTTTTACAGCAGGAGTCCCAGACTCAGAGAGCGTCCCCTTGCTTTCATTTTGCAGGATGAGATCCCTAAGCCCAAAATTCGGGGACACCGACCCGTGGAAAGGCAGGAAGTGACCCCCACGCTCCGACCCGTCGCACCTCCCATCAGTAAAGGTGGATACCAGCCCCGGCCCACAAAGGCGGCGAAGAGAGGGGACAGAAAAGAACAAATCACCTACCCTGACGCTGGTGGCTGCAAGCACCCTCTGGATGAGCTGGTAGGTGTCCGTCAAGGCAGCTGACAACAGACCATCTTCTTATCTAGCGTGCTCCTTGCTGCCTTGCAATAGTCTGTCACGCTCTCCCTGCTGGGTTCTCTGGCAGAGAATGCAAGTGGTAAAGGTGCATCTTAGTGACTGAGAGCAAATCTGAGTGTGGAGGTTTCCAAAAAATGAATTCTGGTAAAGCTTAATGAATACACAGTTGTGGTAGAGTCCTGCTGCTGCCTGCGTATTTTGGTTCTAAAGGGACTTCAGAGTTTCCCACCTCCTTTTAGAACACTGCTGTCCTTGGTGGCACAGGGCTTGTTGCAGAAGCAATGAGCTTCCTGAGATGATAATTTTTTCGTGAATCATATGGCCATTTCGCAAGATGTGCACATAACAAAGTGTACAGAGCACAGCTGATTCTCTGAGGCTAACAAATAAGGTGGATATAGCCATGCGCAGGCACGGGGTAATTCCTGACAGGCTTTAATCAGAGTTCAGATGGCTTAAGCTGTGAACATTTAACAGTGCAGAAAAGTGAAAAGCAGATAGCGTACCAAAAAAGTGTGAAGGGAAAGGGATTTTCCCAAGAACTCCAACAAAAGGGTCCTCCTGGGGCACTCAGGGCTCCTTCCTGACTTTCAGACCAAAGCTTCTTTGTAGAAATGTTTTAAAAATCTGGTCCCACATTACTAACTATTCAGTGTGTTCAGAGGTATGGTCATTCACTGATGGGATTAGAAGCTTTTTTCTTGACTTTTATTCACAGCCCTTTTTTTTTGTTTGGTTTGTGTTTTTTAAGGGAGTGCTGTGCCCAACTGGATGTGAGCTGCAAACTGCACTAGTAAAACAGGAAAAAAGTGTGAAGGGAGTTGTTTGGGGTCTAAAGGAAAAAGTGAGCAAGCTGCATGAAGACTCTACAACTTTCTATGAATATGTGACTGTTCTAGATGATAAATTGGCAAAGAGGCAAAAACAAAGAAAAGGTATGCTATTTCTGTGAATTACTAGTGTAAACGGTATTGTCACTCTGTTGATATTGCTACTATTACTTCTTAATGAGACTTCTTTAAAAATATAGTGGAATATCTAGCAAAGTAGGGTTCCATGACCATGTCCTCTTAAATTACTCTTGAGAGAGGCAAAATAATGGATCTTATACTAACGTAAGATTCATATGAGGACTCTAAACATAAGGGTCATGTGTTTCCCCCCTTACCTACTTTCCTATATCTGTCTGATTCCATTATGCCCAGCTCCTGACTTTGGCACCATGGCTTACTGGAAAGAAGTTAGTTATATTTCTTTGGTAGAATATAGCCCAACTGATAAAGCTACTAGCTAGCAAAGAAATAATACGCATGTACCACTTTCCTAAGAATCTCCGCCTAGCCTTTGCACACTGTGGAGAAGTAAGCAAAAGAAACACCCATCCTTCCTCCCTGCTAAGGAGAGAAGTGGCTTCCCAAATTGTGCTTACAGATTGCTCTTCCATATTTCATAACTGTAAAACATCTTGAAAACTAATCTGCTTTTCATTTCTTTGCTTTTGTAGACAATGATGATGTATTTTCTCAGTTCAACACAGAAGTGGAATTGCATTATAATTATATAAAGGATAATCTGGACAATAGCATCCCATCTAGCCTCAGGGTCCTTCGTGCAGTTGTGGATTCTTTACACAAAAAGATCCAAAAACTGGAAAATGCCATTGCAACCCAGGTGGACTACTGCCGTTCCCCGTGTGTTGTTTCCTGTAATATTCCAGTGGTTTCAGGCAAAGGTACTCATTCAACTATAATGGCATCTCTTCTCCTGTTTTTGTCACTGCGCATATTGATAGATGCATCATTCAATTGGTCTCAACGTGCCTCTGTAGCCTGTGTTATTGATTAGGGTAGAAAAGACGGAAACTGATTCTGAAGGAAAAAAATAAGGTTCTCTTATCCAGTATCAGTCTTACCCAGTATCAGTCACCATTCATGACCAGTAACATTTAAGAGAAACATGTGTGTCAGGGTCTTTGTAAGGTGGAGGGGATACACTTGTGACTATCACAGTCGTTTCCTTGGGGTTTTTTCAGTCAAGAAAGGTTCTTCTTTCCGAAACTTTTTTTCTTTTTTTTTTTTCCTCTATTTCAAAAAGTTGTTGGAAAGTATACAGCCATCCATCACTCAGTTGAACTTTCAGAAGTTCTTTTTTGGAAAAGTAGAGGAATGCAGGTGCACCGTTCTTTCTTCCCTGATTCTTTCACATAATGTATCACAGAAATCAAAATTAAAGTAGAAATATATATATATATTTTTTTTTAAAAAGATTGCTCTCTTATGATCAGCAAGCCAAAGGCTAAGAATATTGTTGAAGAAATTTGCAGCTCTTTCAGTAACACATTCTATGGCTGATTCTTGCAGAATGTGAGGATATTATCAGAAAGGGAGGTGAGACATCTGAAATGTACCTCATCCAGCCAGATCCATTCATCAAACCATACAGAGTATACTGTGACATGGAAACAGATAATGGAGGTTAGTGTGAAATAACTATATTATTAAAATATTAATTAATATGAATGCTACAAAAACATATTGGTGATTTTCATTTTATACAAACTAAAACGGACTTACAACTTTTGTGATTACTTGAGAATTAAGCCTGACTGACTCATTCAGAAAAGCCTTGTTGGTCATCTTCAGATGACAGTGAAACTGAAAATAAATTGCTGAGATAGGGTTGGTAAATAAAAAAAATATCTTACTATGATTGGAATTGACAACGTATGGGTGGGCAGACAAGAACAGCCTGGCTCATTTCTTACCCTGCTACTATGCACTGATCAGAAGACTGGGGCAGTCCTTCAAGTTTTGCTTTTTCCACCTTTCCTTATGAAGCAAGGTGCTACTCAAGTGTGAGTAAAAACAGCAAAGCCAAGCTTGTAAGCAGTGAAAACTCAGACCTGCTGCAAAAGAGCCATATGCTCTGCTCGTCTTGAGATGAAGATAAAAAGGGTGTATCTTAATGTTTCATGCTCCTTTCTTAATGGCAATTTAATCTAAATGCTGTTGTTCCTGCAGGCTGGACTTTGATTCAGAACCGCCAGGATGGCAGTGTTGATTTTGGAAGAGTATGGGATTATTATAAAAAAGGATTTGGAAATATTGCAAAGAGTGGAGGGAAGAACTACTGTGACACACCAGGTAAAACACTGAGCATGAAACAAGAAGAGCTCTTCTTACTGAGACTGTTTTCTCATATTTCTTGGAGCTCTTTGATTTATTTCAGATTGATTACTCCACTTCAGCAGATCTGTAGGTAGATCATAAAGTTGCCTTGAAGTATACTTTGAAGTTTATTTCACAGAGCTCTCACTTATTGCTTCTCAGGTGAATATTGGCTTGGAAATGACAAGATTAGCCAGCTTACCAAAATTGGGCCCACTGAAGTTTTAATTGAAATGGAGGACTGGAATGGTGATAAAGTATCAGCTCATTATGGAGGTTTCACCATACAGAATGAAGGAAACAAGTATCAGCTTTCAGTTAGTAACTACAAAGGCACTGCAGGCAATGCCCTGATGGAAGGAGCTTCACAGCTGCACGGGGAAAACAGGACGATGACAATTCACAACGGCATGTTCTTCAGTACTTATGACAGAGACAATGACGGATGGTATGTATTTGCATTAGACATTTAAAACAAAAGCAAGAGATTAAAGTAGAGCTGAACATAGACTATTTCTCTAAATTGCTGTTAGTTTTCACAGCATTTCATAGTAACTTAAAATATGTCTTATCCCTGCAAGCTACCAACTGAATGTCAGCACCGTTCCTCTGTTTAAGCCAAGGGCAGGTAAAACTATATATTGGTTCAGTGCTGCTCCACAATCAACTGAGAAGCAAGCACTCCATGAATGACATCACCATAGGCAAACCAGCAAATCTGGATGCAATACATTCATTGTCAGATGATGGTGGCACTGATGGTGGCAGTGCTGAGGACACCGTCTTGCTTAAGTAGGAATATTGGCGCTCACTCCAGTAACACATGCCGGGTCATCAGGAAAGAGATGGGTAGCATTTTAAAGGGCATATTTAAAAATACCAAAGTTCTGCCTACTCAGAAGACAGGAGCTCAGTTTTAAAGTCCATAATTCAGCACTGCGTGTCTAAGCTATGTGCTATGTCTCAATACCTGATTACATATTCATGAATAAAGGAATTGTTTAGATTGGGGAAGACATACATTTCTTATTGATTTATATCTTTAAATTGCATTAACACTGCAATTATCATTATGAACTGGAAGTAATTGTAGTTATCCATCAGTAAACTAAAATGGTATTCCCAAAGAGATGCAGCTAAAATGTAACATTTTTTTTCTTAGCTGTTTCACCTTCCAAGTGCACTGTGTAGCATATGCTTGTCATGGCCAATCTTTTACAGAAAATTCAGAGATTTTAAATGTCCAGTGTAGTTTCAAAATTTCAGTATGGGGTCAGGCATACGTACTTTGTTGATTTGTTTGCTTACAGTTCATCTGTCACTCTCAATATGTATTTTTTTTTTTTTTCCTCCTTATCAGGTTAACAGCAGATCCAAGAAAACAGTGCTCCAGAGAAGATGGTGGTGGATGGTGGTACAACCGCTGCCACTCAGCCAATCCCAATGGCAGATATTACTGGGGAGGGACCTACAGCTGGGATATGGCAAAACATGGTACAGATGATGGCATTGTATGGATGAATTGGAAAGGGTCGTGGTATTCATTGAAGAAGATGAGCATGAAAATCAGGCCATATTTCCCACATTAACCACTATCAAAATGTACAGAATTAGGGATTTTCTTTTAATATTTGTACATGGTTATATTTTTAGCCATAGTAGTCAGGATTGTCTTTGCATATGAGAGCCAAATACATATGTACAAGCATATTGTGACCTAAAGTGAAAAACCACATCAACTGTAAATCGAAATCTGACCAATGAAAATAACTCACAACTGTATTTTGTTCCATTTGTTATTTGTCCACAAGACAGAACTGGTACAGATTAACATCGATAACAAAGACAAAACAAAAAAAACCCCACAGCCAAAACCTGGCTTGTTTCACCCTTTTACAGAAGACTTCTATACCACACTTGAAGAGGGAGAAAAATATTTTAAAATGTTTTATTAAAATTAAATAAAGCCTTAAACCTAAAGTTTCCTTCACATGGTTCTCAAGTATTTATACATTATATGGGGAGAGGGAAATGCATTCGTTAAATAAGCGTCAGACATTTTCTTTCTTTACTATAAAGGTAACTGTAACTACCTGTTGTATTCCTTCTCAACCATAACAAGTTGAGAAGGAATAAAGTGAAATACAGTATCTAACAAATGGGCAGGTTACTAGTCAGTTCAAATCCTGTATTATGGATAAAATATGTACTTTCCTGTGACCTGGCTCACATACTGTACCTCTTAATATCCATTCCACCATCCCACATCCTTTTGTCATAGAATAAAATACAGCATTAGAAGACCTGGCTGGTATGTCTTCTACACAATCACTAGGGGACTAGGGCAGTTAGTGACTCCAGTCATAGGATAGGTGAAGGTTGAGTATTTTGTCAAAGCTAGTGGTCTAGACTCCTTCTGTAACCAGGAGCAGAGGTTATCCCAAAGACAGGACTTCCCAACCTTGGTAGGCAGGATGAATATCTGTCAGAGGGGCACTTCCTTGCTCCATAAAGGAAGGCATTTGGATCACTAATGGTAGACAAGTCCCATCTGAAACCTCTTGTGTTGTTTTAGTCTGTGGAGGACAAGGAGGAGACATTATGGCAGCATCTCACTGCATGAGCACAAATATTCCTCCCAGAGGCAGGCTTCCACTGAGGCTAGGGAGCAAAAACACATGGCGTAAAGCAGAAGCCTCTCTTCCAGAAGTGCAGATGTGTCTCTGCATATGGCTGGAAAGATGTCCTTGCTCTTCAGCAAACTCTCCAAAAAGGTTAGACCTGTGTTTGAGGAGCACTGAAAAAAAGGCTAAAAGTAAACTGCTTTGCCAGTATTTAGTGATCTTATTAAATTATATGAAGTAGGCTGGGTGATGAGATTGGAGGCAAAGAATTTTGCTTGTGCTTGTTTCTCAGTGGAAGCACAGAAATGTTAAACACTTGTGTAGGTTTATGTCATAAAGTATAAAGATAAACACGGCATGTTCTTGTGTAATTGTGTAACGAATATAACTGTTTTTCCATGCAGACAGCTTTTTGCTAAAAAATCCTTAGCACACAGTCAGCAAGTTGCTGATTTACCCCTTATGTGTAGAAGAATCCTTGCTTGATTGACATAAGCTGAGAAACATTATAAACCAAGGTAATACACACTATAGCCATCTAGGTGTTCCTCATCTTGCTCATGCTGGTTAAAGTTATAACGTTTTCATGGTCACTAGAAAACAAACACCTGTTTTGAGAGTTGTATTTTGATGAGTTATCATGAACTGTCTTATTTTGAAGGTACAGGATGAATAGTAAACTACCTAGAATTCATCAACGGACAGAAGGTCTACGTTGGTATTTGTAAAACCAAAGGTTGGAGATTCTTAAAAGTCAGTCCTAAAGTGCATGCATCATTTATCAAAGGGTACTCCATGTAGTGTGGCAAAAGTGAGAACCCAAACCACCCACGGCTTAGCCTGAGAACTGACTCCTACTGCTGTTGTGCTCTCCTTGAAATGGAAATGAGAGGAAACGGCCCAGAAGTATGACTGTCAAACTCAATCATGTTATGGTTCATGTTAGTGGAGGCAGGAGTTCATGGTGAACTTCTAAATTCATTTACTTAACACTTAAACAAAGTTAATAATTCAGATTATAAACATTTTCATCTCCAGTCAAGATGTGAGTTGCCTGTCATGGGTTTGAGTCTGGCTGGGTTTTCAGACGTGGAGGGAGAGCTGTGGGGAATGACCCTTCTGCAATTTTGAGAGCCTCCCTCAGCCCTAGGTAGAAATCAGACCTACCTCTGCCTAAGGCGATGCCAATAAGAGCCTCTGCAATCAATATATTTAAGACGCAACCCTATTGAACCAGTTTCCTTTTCTCTTTTGTTTGGTTATCTTGTCTACCCTTGGTCTGTCCTGTCATATTTGGGAGTTTTTCTGTTGGAGGAGGGGCAGGTGAGAGGCAAGCAAAGCAATGTGGTCAGTGAGGAAAGCAGGGGAAAAGGCACCAGGGCAGAGAGTTTTCCTGGAGCCCTGTGGTGAGTGTGATGGCAGGGAGATGATTGCCTGCGACCTGAGGGATTTGACAGTGGCGAGAACATCCAGGATGTGGTGATATGTGGAGAACCCTATGCCAGGGGGGAGAAAGACTGCGCAGAGGCAGAGGATGTGCTCAAAGTGATCCATGACCCCGAGTGCGATGAACTCATGAGGAGGAAGAGGGTTGCCTCCCATGAGATGGACACCATGCAGCAGATAGGGAACATTGCGTGGAGCCCTTTTCCCCAAGAAGGAAGAGCTGCCAAACACAGTCAGTAGTGGCTGGACAGACCACATCCCCCACCCCCTGCCCTGCCTTGCAGCGCTGCAGGGGTGAAGGTAGCTGGAGAGATGTGACGAGGGTGGGGGGAGTGTATATGAGATTGAGTTGTGTTTATCTATGTATTCCTCTCACTATTCTACTCCACAGATGGTGGTGATAAATTAAATTTGTTTTCTTCCCAAGCCTACTCTGGTTTTTATCCTTCATCATAAGTGGTACGTGAATCCTCCCTGTCCTTAATCTCAATCCTTGAGGCTTTTTGGTTGAATTTTATCCCTCCACATCCCTGTGGAGGCAGGGGTGGGGGAAGAGTAAAGGACTGACTGTGTGGTTCTTTGTTGTTTGTGGGGCTGGCCAGCTCAAACCATGACAGCTGCCAAGAACGTAGACATAGACAAAGACATAGAAAAAGTTTATATAAAGCGGAGTTTAAAATCAGTATTTCCTTGAAAAGTCTTGTCATTTATAAATAAGATGAAAGAACTATTCTTTTGATAATTAATCAGTGTTTATTTTTTAAGCCACACGTGTGCCCAATTGCGTTGAAATTCAGAGAGTAAAGGTACATCATACACATACATATAAAAAAACACTTTTCAACCTGTAGTTGTAATACATGTATTAAAAGCCTGTCTTTCTACAGGGTTTCTATGGGCCTGATTTTCATTCTAACAGTTTTAAGGGAATAGTCAGAGGCTCTGAACGGCAGCCAGACCACACCATTTTCTATCTCATAAGGCACATTGTACCTGGGGTCGTAGTGGCCCCCCAGGTAGTAAATGCCATTGAGGTTGGCTGCCTGGCAGCTATTGTACCACCAGCCACCTCCGTACATCTCCGCACAGCTCTCCTCCCACCGGTCCTGGTCCTGGTCAAAGGTGCTGAACTGCATCTGGTCATGGGAGGTGTATTCAGTGCCCTCTTCCAGCCAGCCGGCAATCAGCGCATCCCCGGCAGTCCCCTCGTAGGAGGACACGGCCAGGGCGTACCCTTCTGCTTCAGACCCTACCTGTATGATATATTCTGCATACACAGCATTTCCATCCCAGTCCTCTAACTCTACCCGAAGGAGGGTGTCGTTCTGAGTCAGCAAGTGTATGTTTTCATTGCCCAGCCAGAACTCTCCTTGCCCTCTGCCATCCACGCTGCCGAAACCTCTCTTGTAGTCTTGCCAGGTCCGGTTAAAATTCACTGATCCATCCATTCTCTGTTGGATCAATAGCCATCCTCCCAAAGTGGTCTCTTGGTCGCAATAAACTGACAAAACCTTATTGGATCCCGCTGGCTGGATTTTGAAAATGCCACTTTTGGCACCAAAAGTGTGTTTCTGGCGGATATCATCACAGTCTAAAAAAAAAAGTTGATCTGGTTTGACAGGAGTTATCAGCAAACTTTAATAAAAGGTTCAGAGGAATCCAACTACCAATAGCTCTGAGGAAAATTGTTAAACACATCTTGGATTACACTAAGTGTAGTGACAGGCAACATTAAAAAGAATTCAGAAAAGAAAACTTTATGTACTTCTTAAATTGTGAATTGTCTATGTTATACCCGAGTATTAATGAAATATGTTCCTTTTTTTTTTTTTCCTGAGGTGGCAACAAACAGACACAGTGCTCTCATTTTATCATCACACTGTTGCACTGCAGTATCTAAAATCAATGTGCCAATTTGCTTATGGAGTTTGTCTCCACTACCTCAGTAACTATTTCTGTGGTGCCCGTGTACCTTTCCCAGTGCTGGCTGTCCTTTGCTTCACTCGTGACGATCTGAAGCTGCGTGCCTGAAAGTCTGGGGTATCCTCTGCACTCTGATCATGTTGCACCCCACCTAGCTGCTCAGTTATTTCACGGGTCTTTAGTGATTTGGTTTCGAAAGTGGAGCCTCCCTTGTTGAAACTAGAAGAGGCGCTGGTCACTACAGTCTTGGTGTGACTCGCACTACCAGATGGGAATCCAGATGGATGAAGTCCTCCAAAGTCATCTTCTTCCTCCTCTCCTAAGTCTGTAAATTTGATTTTCCCTGGATGGCTGGCTACTTCACTACCTAAGCGGCTACTGCCTGTTACATGGACGCTAGATGCACCTGAGTGCCTATTAGCAGTGGATGGAGAGTCAGGGGTAAAAAACGATTCTAGCTCAGGGAATAAGGTCTCTAGCTTGTGGAAGTCACCTATCCCACCAACATGGTACACGGTCCCTTCACCTCCAGCATTTCCTGCTCCTTGTAAATAGGAGCAGTCTGAGCCATCAGAAGAAACCAGTTTTTCAACTACTTCTTCTCTAGGGCCATCAGGGCCAGTAATAACTTTCTTGGTGGTAGTTTTGGTGCATCTACGAACAGTGGAGGAGGTTTTGTCTACCAGACTAGGGAGTTCTCTCCCATGAGTGGGAGGAACTAATTTGCTGCTGTGTGAAGGTCTATCCCCCCTTGATTCTTCCAGAGGATACCTGCTCTCCCCTGGGGAGGGTTTTGCGTCTTTTGCTGATCCTTCTAATACAGCTTGCATCTGCCTGATGTTATTAATTATGTTCAGAGCTTGCATTTCTGGTAGAGGCTTATGCTTAAAATGCTCAGGAACATTTGAGTCTTTAAGTGGCCTCATTTTCAGTGTGCTCAAGGTGGCTGTTTGAAGCTCTGGGTGCAAGTTGATGGAGCTGGCTTGGGTAAGCTGCTTCTGGATATTGTTGTAGCTTTCTTTGTCCACCTGGTAATCAAAACCTCTAGCACAGGTTCCTTTGCAAGCTCGTATCTTAATATCAATGTCCACCTACATAGAAAGAGATAAATAATTTGGTTAGGGAGCTTTCTTAAGTTTTTCAAGCAAATGTATGATCTAACTGGACTGGGGAAAGGTGAGAACGGTGCTGGTACCTCCCACCTACACCTGAACTTTTCCAAAGCTCAATTTTGAAGTAATCCCTGAGTTTATTTTCATTGTAAATATGACATGTGCAATAGCACAGTGCACATGAGCTCCATGGAGAAGTATGTCATAGCACGTTCCCAGTCTCTGCTCGCTTTATTCTCTGAGCACAGGGATGCCTTCCTGGGTGTGGAGGGAGTGCTGCAGAGCTGGGAACACTCCCTGGAGACTGGGACAGAAACGAGTCCTCCAAGGAGAGGGGAAGATGCTGGACATGTCTGCGGTGAGGCCTGCCATCCTGGGGTTACTACTGCTTTCCCAAATGATCCAAAGGCCTAGATCTCTCATCCAGGGACCAAAATGGGGTACTGAGCAAAACCGGACACTGTTTGTGTCAGGACTTTTCCTTGCATTACCATCAGAAGAATTGGCTGCAGCCTGGGAACATGGCCTCTAATACCAGCACTGCCCATGGGCAGCGGTGGCAGCACCAGGGAGGGACAGGGCATGTACCCCTCATTGTAGCAGCACAGCAACTGCTTATAAGGAGGAGAAACATCTCCCACAGAGCCAGCCATCACCAGATATAACATCCTTGTTGCCTGTCTGAGAGCAGAAGGGACCAGGAGTTCTCACACTGGTTCCTCCCCAGCAGGAAAAGAAAACCAAGCTGCACTGAAAGCAGTTCATTGGGGAGTTTGTTTCAGCAAGCCAGATCCTGTGAGAGTTGCATAGTGTTTTCTTCCAAAGGTAGCACTGCTCACCATGTGCAATAATAATAGATAGATCCTCTTTCTGTGGCTAAGCCCTGAAAAAAATGGAAATTACATAGCAGCTACCTACCTCCAAACGCTTCATCTCCACCACCTGTTCCTGGATGCTGCTCTGCAGAGCTTTAATTCTGTTTACTTGAGTGACAACTCTCTGCTTTAATGTCACAATTCTCTGCCTTAGTTCTCCTGACACGCGATCGTAATCCTCATCAAGCTCTGAAACAGAAATGCCTCACAGTCAACTATGCACATGTGATTTTCTTTCCTAAAAGAGCAGCATATTTCAAAACATGTAATTAAACCATATAATTAAGAGCATATTTCTCACAGTATGGAGCAGGTAAAAATTAAATTAGTTTTTACTAATTATCAGTTGAGAGTCTTGTATTACTATGTATATTCCGGCTCTCGACAATAAGGCCCATTGCAGCATCTGTTTTCACTGCACATTGCTTAGGCACGAGAAAACCTCAAAATTCAGCAATGAATTACAAAACTGGGTGTGACACTCACGCTGAGCGTTGTCCAGATTTGGTTTTATTTCATTTATGGTTTCCACAACTATCCGATTGGATGTTTTATAGTTGTCTTGATTATCTGCTAGCAGTTTCTTGATTTTGTCTATTCTACGATTATAATCACGGTCTGTTTCATCAATCAGTCCTTGCATTCTGCAGCCTGATGGGCAGTTTGCACCCTAAAATTGGAGGAGGGAAATAAATGTGTTAGAATCTTCATGAGTAAACCTTTTTTTAACATTATATTTGCAGACTTTTGGCCAACACTGAGAACAGATGAGGAAAAAAAACATAGGGCAAGATTCTGCATGTTCTCTTCAGATGTCTGTTCTTTTCATCCAATGACTTCACCAAAGACTTGCATGACTTGGAGCAAGCCACCTGCATATGGACCCTTTGCCTCCTATGCCTCTGGCATTGCTGGGATGAATTCAGTGAAGCACATCCTCGGAAACCTGCCATCACTAGGTGATGAAGAATAAGTAAACCCCTAATTGTATCTCCTCTGTTTGTCAGGGGTGAATTTTTTTTATATAGATATAGATATTTGCCAAAGGGCTGCTGCAAGAAGTCTATTGTCCAGCATGAGTAAGAGGCCAACTTATTTAAGTGAAATTTCCCTCAGAAAAGCTTGATGTTCTTAGAGACTAAAGCTCTTTGCCAAGATTTCATAAAATAAATGTACCACAGCGATGGGCTGAAACGCAAGAGGTAAGAGAGACACAAATTAACAGTTTATGTACAAAGATATTCAGTCATCATTATGAATCTTTTATCAAATATTTTGTCATCTGACTTCCTAAAAAGAAGTGTAGTTAAGAAGTGTAAGTTATTTCTAGGTATTTCTTTGTCACATATCTTTCTTCCTGGTGCCCTTCTCTTACTAATCCCAGAAGCGGCAGTATCAAAACTCTAAACAAAAGATCCATTTTTATTTTTTTCTAGGAACAGCAACTTTCTATTTCATCTTACTTTTCCAGACTCACTTCCTTTTAACCTCTGCATACTCATTCTCCTTCATACTCATACTTCATCCTCTCATTCATTCTCATGCATACTCATTCTCATTCATACTTGTTCTCCTCACATTTTTTCTTTCTTTCTTTCCTGCACATGTCTCCTGTCTGCCCCAATGTGAAGGGTTACCTGTCCTCTCTCAGTCCTACAGTCCAACCATGTGCTGTCTGTACAGCACCCATTGTAGTGGTCTGTATGAGGTCCATGAGGGCCCTACTGATGGGCCCCATGTTCTCCCCTAGAGATCATTGCTCACCCAGTCATCATTCGCACAGAGGGGCCAGTTCTTCTCATATTGGCAGGTGGTCTGAGTATTGTGCTCCACAACCCTGGGACCACGCAGTGCTCCACCCAGCTGTTCAAAGCCAGATCCTTCACTTTGTGCCTGCCAGGAGAAAAAAGCTGAGGTTAACTCAACATCTGGCAAGAGAAGAGAACCATAATGCTGAGGTCCTCAAATACTCAGTGGCATAGCTGACATGAGGCAATTACAGGCCCTCTGGAGAGCATCACACTGAACAGCACAAAGAAATTATTCCTGACATTTCTTGCAAGACATGATTTTGTTTATTTTGTCAGAATAAAGCTTTTTGTCTCTTAAAATTGATGCTGCTACATAGGGAGCTGGTGATGATCAGGATGTATTATGATGACATTATTCAATAGAAATCTTGTGTTCTGTGTGTAAATATACAATTAACTTAAAATTAGACTGAAGCAAGTTGAAGCAAATAGTTAAAAAATCCTATGTTCTATTTTCATTTGCTGCGATATATCTAAATTTCTGTTTTCATTCTACTGCCCTCAGTCTACACAAAATTGGCTTAAAGATACATATGGAGAGAGTCTTCCCATTAGTGTTTTTGTTTTTAATCACGGTAGCTAATTGTAAGCTTGTAGCACTGTTATGCCTGGCATAAAGAGCAAGAAAGATGCTAACATTAGAATAAAAATAATGTCATTGATGGATGGATTTCACTGTGTTAATGGAAAGTGGAGAAATATACTGAGATTTTCTTCAAAGCTGAGAAGAAAAAGTGCATACATACAAGTTCACTCTAAACCAAAACTCTGTGAGAATTCCTATTGTGTTAGTAAAAAACTGGAAAATAATTCTATTACATAAAAGAAAGACCCATTTTAGGGCTCAAAATGTAATTTTGTCTGACTAGATTCCTCTGTATACCTTAAGTTCATTTCAAGCAGCATAGTTGATGCTTGAAAAATATAAATTATTATGATTATTTATTACAATGATTAATTCTGAGGCAGAGAAAGTTTTCCCAATTCTACTCTCCAGCGCCAGAACCTCAGCCCTGGGGAACTGGAATGTCATTACTGAAATCAGCGAGTTCACACTGATTTGATTCATCTTGAGGATCTGGTCCAAGTGTCTTTTTAAAAGTAACAAATGAAAACTTTCTTGTTAGGTGGCCTGTTGCCCTTTCAGCGTTGACAACCCAAATGCAATTGCTTCTCTTTTGCCCCATCTGTGTCCTAAATTTCCTGTCATTTGTTTAAACATGCACGTTCTTCAAAAAACAATAAAAAAGAGAAACATAAAGAATCTAACAGAAGATTATGGCCTGAGACCTCGATGAGAAAACAGTAAGTTTATATTGGCATAGTTGAAAGTCAGATTTCTTTCCTTCCCAAAAAATTGACTCTTACTTAGCTTTAAGTTTTTTAATGTGTATTTTATAGTAAAGGTATTTTACATCATTTGTAGGAGGAAAGCCATTTTTGACTGGCTGGAGCTACTATCATCCAGTCAGTCACCTTTAAGACTTACAGCATCACCTATGAATCTATGAATTCATGCTAATGTATAAGCTTTGCTGCTCCTGAAGCCAGGCAGATTCAGCAAAACTGAATTAGGCAAAACTACAGCTGGACACTCAAGAACTACTGTAACCACTCAAGAACTACTTTCCCAAGCAGGGAAGTGGTTACAGCAAACTTGTGCATATATGCATGCATTGAATTTTATGAGCTGGGTGACAGCTAAAGTGTATCTAATGAATAAACATTAAATAAATGCTCACTTTTCAAAACAGAAAGATATGAAAAGAATCAAGTAAGCAAACTCATACCCAGGCTATGTTAAGGCACAGCAACGCACAGAGGATCCTCATTGATATCATCTTCAGGAGAGAAGGAAGCAGAACTCTGACTGAAAGGATGCTCTTCATCAGTCTTTTGGTGCAATTTAAACCCTAATGTGAAGCTGAGATTAATCATTACGTTCCCTTCTGTTTGCAGACAAAACATGCTCCCTCCCCCTTAGGTGATTACTTAAGACCTCTTGCACAAGTTTCTGATGTTATTTGCTCCAGATAAGTTTGTACAACACCAACATGCAGACAACACCATGTATTCCAGGAAAAAAATCTGTCTAAAGCTTAGTTTCTCATAACCAGATGTTCAGCTACGGTGTATGCAGGACCTAGTGGGATCCAGCAATGTTCACCTGCTGGAAGACACACATTCTTGCAATAAACATTTAGGTAGCATAATCGAAGAGTTAATATCTGAAAAATTAAGTCATTCATTTGCCCTTTCTGTGTGACTCTATTCCACTGCTGTGAAATCTACTGGCTTTTCCAAAGCAAGTACTAGCCTAAGAAAGGTTGATACAGCCTATCTGTCACCATCTGTGACTCCTGAGGAGTAAAAAGCCTGAGTACATCAGCTGGACCTTACAGGTATTTGTAAAATGCATGATGTGTTTAACACTTTGCTGTATCTTACACAAATATTACAATTTTTTATCAAGTAGGATTTGTTTGAAATGAACATATATTTATGAAGACCACAGTAGAGTAGTACTTGAAAGTGTCCCAGAACGGATGTTAAGCATAATTAAATCTTCCTAATGAGTCACCTCTCCTTAAATGTTCGTATATTGGGTATAGTTTGTGTGTGGCAATTGAGGATAATGTGCTGCCGCTGTGAGCTCTGTAATAAGCTTTACTGTTACTGGGGAGTGTTGTGTGTGGCTCTCAGACACTTGAGAGATTCTGCCCACATCAAGAGTTGCCATGGCAGTGAGCAGTAAAGAGCAAGAATACCTTTGCTAGAGCAGATGTTGGCTGAATCAGTTGAAAGAGCAAAATTCTCCCTTGACTTTTTAGAACAACATGACATTCACATCTCTCCGTCTACAGGCTTTATCTTAGCTGTGCACATTCTGAAACAGAACGTTTTGTTTATTTCAATTCCCTGCAACGTGCTTTGTAAAGTCCTCTACTGAATCCCATGCAGTGCCAGTAATACCATGATGCAACAAACCTCTTCTGATTTCGGCAACAAGACAGCCCAACTAACCACGAATGTCCAAACAGACCACATATTACCTTTGCTCAGTTTGAAGATCAGCCAGCTATGGCTGTGTTGTTTGGTTAACTTCAGCAAGGGCAAGACTGGTGATGCTTCCTCACCCAAATCCTACACAATTTTTTTCACTTTGTCGCAGCAATTCTGTGAAAGGATTATAAAAATCTCAGAGGACAATAAAAAGCTTAAAGAGGGAAAGACCACAATAATAGCAATTCTTGCAGGATTAGGATTGATTATTTTACAGAACAGAATAAAATGGGCTTCATGCAAAATATACTAGGATCCATGGAGCATCTCCCACTCAAACCAACAAGTTCTAATTTAGCCTCCACGATAAATACAAAACTCTACTTCAAGTTCACAATCTTAGGACATCCTTAGACTCATAGAATCATTCAGGTTGGAAAAG